ACAAATGTCGAAATTTTCCCACAATTTATGTTTAACCACTACTATTTAAACAACCAAGACTTACATTCTCGTAAATTTTGTCTGCTCAGCTAAACTGCGGTCCTTGTGATTCATTCCCCCCATTTGCTTTGTGCTGTGTTTCCAATTAACCTGAAGATGTAATCCGACCGAGATAAGTTCATGAAAAATGTAGTTCTTAATACCCTTAAGGGAACCTTAAATCAAGAAAATTTCGCAGACAAATATTGCTCGGGAAGCCAGTTTATAACTAAATTTTTACATTGTTTTCGGACAGTCTTATTTCATGTTCTTCATTTGGTGCTCAGGGAGACTCCACATACCTCAACACTTTATAGTATTTTACATGAATTAAATAATATAAATAGCTAGAAAGACAATCAGAGAGACTATATAACAGTAGTGACAACCAGGCATAAATATACACTATACACAAAATATAGCTAAGAAATAGATATGTTCGGGCTTGTAAAGAACACAAACAAAATGGTGACAAAAATTTCACAGGGCTCCCGTAAAGTAAGACTTGTCATGTGTAAGCCAAGAATCAACACCGGATAATGTTACACGTAAAATAACGTTACTTTCTCCAAATAACATTTACGTCATCCCACCCTCTCATGACGAAGCACAAAATGAATTCATTTCTCATATTCATAGTCTCATATCTTATGAGACAATGGTTCATTTCAAGGACATTAGTTTAACATGAGTCATTTTCATGTTTTCATAAACCATCAATTTATATGTAGTTTCATGGTTTTCATTTTCATGAGTGAGTCTAACGGTTAAAGTCTTTATTATATTGCATATAGTATACCCTATATATTATTAACTGCATAATAACACTACTAGTTCGACATTTACATCGTGAGTAAAATTTATGAAATATATGCGCGTACACTTAAATTAGGTCCACGTTAAACTTTAGAGATAAATTCACAACTAGTATGACAGACAATTAGTAATTATCTTAGACGTATCATTGACAGGTCACCTATAACTAAAAAAAAAACAATGTGTCAGACTACTGGTTTACATTAATAACTGCAGTGAATTTACAAAGAATAGACACTGAAAACGTATTCCAAAATTAACATGGTTGTCAATTTGTGGGTTTGTACTATCTGATGGATGAATATAATCTAGGGTTACCCATTAATTGGTGGTCATTTTTGACCGGGAACATCATAGGTTTAACAAAGTTGACTTAACCACTCAAAATGCAATCAAAGTACTGATCAACAATTGTTTAAATGCCTACTGTGAAGGAAATCAAGGCCTTGAGGAAATTGAATGAAAAACACAATAATTATGAAGTAGTAAATCGGTCAGATTTGACCTCAACACGTACATTTGATATACACTTCGAGGTGGAAGAAGTATTCAGATCTTGTACTTGAGTAAAAGTATAAGTACAAGAGTGTAGGAATACTCTGTTACAAGAACAACTTAAGTAAAAGTACAAAAGTATTAGCATCAAGATATTCTTAAAGTACCAAAAGTAGAATGACTCATTCTGCAAATTGGTCCATTTCAAAATAATTTATATTATATGCTTGGATTAAAATGATTGATAATTAAAGTGTTATCAAAGCTGGTAAAGGTGCAGCTTGTAATGACTTTGTATACTGCAGGGTAGCTTGTGAATTTACTCCAGGTGGAACTCAAGTGCTTTTTAAGTGTTGACTATATTTCACATTATTAATCCATACCTGTAAAGTGACTAAAGCTACCAAATAAATGTAGTGGAGTAAAAGTACACAATTTACCTCTAAATAGTAGATGAGAAGAAGTACAAAATAGCATAAAATGGAAATAAAAAAAAAAACAAGTATCTCAAAAATGTACTTAAGTGGAGTACTTGAGTAAATGTATTATGCCAACATATTTCACATAATTGTATTGTAATAAATATTTTTGTATTGACACTTAAAAGTAGTGCTTTCATCTAACCTAATATAGTGATGTGAAATCTGCTGACGTAATACATTTAATTAAAGTCAACGCTTTAGATTTTTCAGTGTGGTGTCTCCTTTATGAGCTCATAGTAAACCCTCCTCTTCTCCTCCAGGCTCCCTGCTCCTCACCAGAGTTGCTGAAGCTTTGCACCCCCGTGGATCACAACAGCTACTCACCGCAGGACTCCTTCTCCTCCTCCTCCTCCTCCTCCTGCTACGACTCCCCCACCAGGATGGATCCTGGGTACCCCGGCCTCCCCTCAGAGCACTTCCACTTCCAGCACTGCACCCCCCAGGACCTTCGCAGCCTGCCCTACTGGCCCGGCCCGCAGGATAGCTTCTCCACCCCTGAATATGCACCTTACTACAACCCCACAGACTATCCCTACGCCTGCCCTGCGGAGGAGAACTATTTCAGGAGGGATTTGCAGATGACCTCTGAAATGTGCTACAATGTACTATGATCAGTTCTCTTGTGTATATTTTGAATGTAAATATGTTTATGAGCACTGTGCTTTGCTTGATGGTCCGCGCTGCATTTCAATGCGTTCTCTGACTGGCTTTTGCTTGGGTGTAATGGATATTATGAATGCTGAAAGAATGGAAATATTTTTGTATTAATGACTATTTTTTTACTACTTAGATTTAATTTCATACGTATTACTTTTTGCTGTACTAAATAAACATGTTTTAAATCAATGTGTTTGAAATATATCTCTTTTATAGGCTGGCATACAGTTAGCATACACACACGGCAGGTGCATTTTAATATATATATTTGCGAATCAGTTGATAACTCACAATGACACCATTCTTTTTTATATAATAAATCATCTGAAATGGTGTTGTATAATATGAAAATCAATTCCTTATCTTATTCAATACGTGCTCATTTGCATTTCTGGAACAGAAATCTGAACATTGGACTAAGTCAGGTCATAATCTTGACACATTAGGGACAAAATATATATTTTTAAACTTGAAATACCTCTTTGTATAGTTTAATAATTCCGAAAAATACTACATTAAAGACAACAAACAAGTATTTCAAAGAGTTATTTCTGCCATGTGTTAAGATTAAATATTGTATAAATCTAGCTATGAATGATATATAAACAAATGTATGATTCTCCTCTATTAAACCCTCAAGATGTGAATACTGAATTGAGATTTCTGGCTCAAATTTGTATTTGATTTGTAACTGAAGGGACGCCCGTTCAAATCCCAATCAGGCCAAATCTTCTTCTTCCTCTAATAGAAGTTTTCCAAAATGTTATCTTCAAATATGCAATTTAGACATTATCATGCTATTTAATTCAAGACAATTCAACAGACACTCATAAGCAACAGTTAAGAACCGGAATGGGATTATCCAATGTTCATCAGTGTGAAATAAGTCATGTTATGAAAGCGAAAAAACCAAGGCTCTAAAAACATCACAGGTTTTTGCATGTAGTATCTTGCCTTTCCTAAAACAAACAAATGCATGGTGTATATTGGACACATAATGCAGGGTCAGTGGTCGTTGTTTACTTCCTGAGCAGAGCCCCTTATCTCCCATATGCTGAAATTCTTCATTTATCGTACACTATTATACTGAACTGCAAATATGTGGGAGGAAAGGAAAAATAAACAAGAAGGACCGATAACGGGTTGGGCAACTTTGATGTAACGCAAGACTTTGCTCTGAAGTGAAGAAATCCTGGCAGGCGGGACTTTACATGTTGTTTAAAGGGGCCAAAAAAGGAAAGTGTCATGATTTGAGTTTTGTGTGTTAAAGGACATATGTCATGCTTTTCCGGTTATTACCCGTCCCCTTGTGTGTTATGAAGGTTTTTATGCATGTAAACGGTCTGCAGAGTCAAAACACTCAAAGTACACCCTGTAGCGAGTAAAACTCTAAAACAGAAAATACCTCCCCAAAACGCCTTGTTGGTGAAACGTCATTGTCCATTGTTTACTTCCTGGGTGCTGTGTCGTAGAAGCACCCAGTAGCCACGCCCAGAGCTATGGCCGCACCCTCTGCCAGCCTAGCATATTTACTGTTGGAATCTCAGATTCAGTTCAAAACTGTATCCAGTCAGTGGTTGACATTCCTTTTTAACACTGTTCCTTCAGATGTTCGAGCCGGTATTTTACTGTGTTCGCGGCATTTCACGGAGCATAGCTTCACAAAACATGGAGTGATTCCTACTGGATATGTACAGCGTAGGGCACTGAAGGACGATGCTGTTCCTACTTTGTTTGGACCAGCGGGAGAGCATATTAGCTGGCAAGCTAACTGTGTTGATTAGATAGATAGATTAGATAGATACACACTCCTACCACAACTAGCCTACTACTAACGAATCTAAAACAACTAAGTTTCTCTAATATTTTGTGATTTGCATTTGATTTCGTCCTGCCAGATCAGGAAACTCCTGGCGTATCTGGCGGACAACACACACACATGGGATGACCACTCTGATGCCTCGTCCTAAAAAGCCCCGACAGCAGCTTGCAAAGCTGTGATAGGCAAGATGCCGAAAACGCCTATAACGGAGGAATGGATGATATACAGTGTATATATGTATATTATTTACACATGTTCATTTTGTACTTCTAAAAATAAAGTTTGATGGAAATACTTAGTAGGCTTTCTTCCCTGAATCATTTGCTCCTATAACATATCATTCATATATAGCAAACCATGATTNCTGGCTGCAGGCTGATAACAGACAGTTGGAATCGCGGCGAAATTCTCTCTGCAGACCCATTCTCACAGCGTTTATCAACCTTTTTCTTACTCAATATCAAGCCACACTTATTGTTTTTACTTCGGCTGTAACTTTGTGTGTGCTCAGGATGAGTTTGGCTGTGTTTCGCTGTGTATCGCTAAACAAGGAAACCACACCTCCACGGAGCTCAGCGCGATTCACAACGTCCCGACAAATCAGAGCACACTGTGCTCACAGGGAGGGTGGGGGCTGGAGCTATTGGAGCTACAACGAGCCGTTAAAGGCAGAGAGTGAAATTTAGTGAATACACGTAGTTTACAGAGATGCTGTATGAGAAACCAATGTGAGTTTGGAAAATTGCACAATATAAATCTATTCTAGTAGACCTCAACAATGGAATTATGATCAGTGGAAATGGCCATGACATGTCTCCTTTAAGTCTGGCCCAGTGCTCTGTCTGAGAGTCACCCTCAAACAGAGTTAAGTCTGGCCCAGTGCTCAGCATGCTTCGTCTTGAGGGGATCAAAGGTTTCAGGTTTTGAAGTTATTCAAACCACCTGCTATTTTCCAAACGGCTGCGGAGTTGAGTTAGGCTAGGAAGCAATCCGTGGTGGTGAGGCTGACACACTGTCTCATACTAGAGAGAATAACCGACTGAAAAGGGTGGATTATTATCAGAGTTAACCATTTGAGGACATTTGAACTTGGATTGAATATGAAACTCTTATATCACCACATACTCCACATGGGAAAAAGCAAAATCTCTTTTGTTTCTACTCACTGGAGCTGTTGCGTTGCAGAGAAGCTGTCCCATTGGTCCCGTTGACTCCATTCTTTTTGAGCTGGTTCTTTGGCTCTGCCTTGTGTTTTGATACCCCCCCATTGGGCCCAGTTCCCTTCTTTCCTTTCAGCTGATGGGAGAAGAACCAAAGGGAAGGAGACTTTTTAAATTAAAAAAAATGGAACACTGCATGGCAGTCGATATTGTGCGCTTCATATCTGCAATTTTAGTGTTGCATTTTTGGGTTCACTCATTCAAGACCTCTCAAATATCTCAGAAAATCAAAACTGCACTGTATAAAGGTCAGCACTAAGAAATGATGGACAAGATTGCACTATTGCCCAACAATTTATTTCAACCTTCTCAAAGTCTTTGAAACCGTCAACAATTTGAAATGTTAGACTTGGTATTTGTATTTAAATATCTTCTTTGAAATGATTGGCATTAATATTATAAGAGTAAAGAACAAGTGTTAGGAAGTTGAATGGGTTTACACATCTATTTTTTATTCATGTAAACTAATCTCCTTCAAACTATTTATATTTAATTAAGTTTCTCAGCAAAAACGACATTTTAAATGATACAATATGAACATATCACAATAACAACAGTTACCTTCGCACGATACAAATGTTACTGAATTCAACTAGAATGCAATATATTGAAACAATATGCAACCAATATTTTATTTTTCTAAGGAGTGTTTGTGTTACACACTCTTTCATGTATTTCCTTTATTTTTCGCTCTTATCTGTCAGAAAGCAAAACAGGTGCATAACATGTGTTGAGTTCTACACAGACTGTCTTTGTGATGAAATGTATGTCACTGAGTATGTCTTGCTGAAGAGGAAAGACTAATAGCATGATATTTAAAAAATAAATAACATCTCCTCTCCATTTTGTCCAAGCAACAGTAATGTGAAGCTTGGCAGTGCGGCCAGAAGCCTGCCTTCACCTCTGGGGATGAACATCAACTTGTTATAGATCGGTGGAACTCTGTGGTCTTATGTCTATGTTAACACCCACTGCCACGCCACACACAGTACACACACAGCACGCACACAAAAGAGCTGGCGGGGGGGAGGCGGAGCTCCACTCAACACAATGTGGCGACATAAGTGAAGTGAGGCAGGGTGGCACTTACAGCAGGGCCATACAAATATGATTGCATACAGCTGATGTTCACTGCAAGGGAAAAGAAGGAATTACACAGTCCAAACGTACAGACTGTTGTACCTAGTATAGACCAATACATATTCTACTCATGCTGTAGATCATGGGTCGGCAACAGGCGGCCCGCGGGCCATTGTTGGCCCGCCAGCAATAATATTTGGCCCGTAATTTTGAGAATAAAAAAATGTTTTTTTTGTTGTTGTTTTTTTACAACATTGGACCGACAGTCCGAATAGAGAATCTACCTACACCTGAAGAATGCTTATTGTACTTTATCCATGTTGAGAGTGAATGACACACAGCACAGGCACAATCAGGCTGAGGGTTGCACTCACGCTGATAGTGGATCAATAGGTGGACAGCGCGTGGTGCTGAAATAGCCAACATTCGGTGTGTGGTTTGAAAAAGTTGTCACTTTCTGTTGGGCTGTGAGGCCGATCGCAGAATTTACCGCATAATCAGCAAAATGGCGCAGATTTTTAAAAGGCCGCATATTTATCAAAAGGCCACATAATCCCCACATTTTTCCACACAAAGTTGAGAAGAAAAAAAAGTTAACTCGTCTTGACGTGACGTCATCAGCTCGCGCATCACAGAATGTAAACAACACTGTATAGAGTGAACGTGTGGAGCTCACACGATAGAGAAAACACCAAGATGAAAAAATCTAATCCATCTCATTTACCGACGAACATTTCTACTAAAGACCGGGCAAAAAGTGGGGGGAAACTATTCTGCACCCCGTGCAACTGTGTGTTGGAGCATAAGAGAACATCGACGTGACGACCCACTTTGATTCATTCAAACATTCGAAAATGCTTTCTGCTGCTGCGGACAAGAAAGCCAAACAACTCACGTTCACCGAGGCATCAACCTCCAAAACCCTTTCGAGGGCTACAAGAAACGAAGTGAGTAGCCTACAAGATTG